TTGACTTCAGCGGCGGCAAGAGGATAGGCATATCAGTGAGAGTGCAGAGGCTGCAGGCGGCGCAGCAGAGGCTGAGGAGGTTCGGATTGCTCAAGAAGGGCAAGGTGAAGAGGAGGCCGGCCAGCAGGGTCGTCAAGACGGGGCTGCAGCCCAGTGTTGCGCATTGAGTGGCGGTGTCAGGCATGGCGAGGGGCGAGCTGGACAAGGCCAGGAACCTGGCCTTCTGCGCGACGGCCACGAGCACGGCGGGCAGGTCGCGCACGCTCCCCTTGATGCTGCAGCCAGGCCTGGATCCCGTCTTCCACGCGACACTGCCACCCGTGATGATGCTGTTTCGAGAGCGCTGGGAAGGCTGGGTCCCGTCTCTCATGATGGATTTCTTCCTGTGCGACGACAGGACCACGAAGTGGGTGCATGTCCAGGGTCCGATGTCGGCGGTGGTGGTGACTTTGAGGCGCGTGGGCTGGCGCGTCATGGACCGTGAGCGGTGGAGGTGCCACGACGGGTCGATCCTGCGGCCCTTCGACACCGCCCCTTGGGTAGTCAAGAAGCTGCTGCTGAGGGCGATTGAGCAGTGGCAGGCTGCGAGCACCTCGCCAGCGGCGGGGCCCTCGAGCCGCTCGCGCGGCTCACGGCGCCGGGCGTTGTCAGCAGTGTGCGCGAGCAAAGAGAGCCAGGGCAGCGTGCCAGCAAGAGGGTCAGGCTCACCGCGAAGAAGGGCTACGTAGCGTCGCTGGTCACTCACGGGCAGTGGACGCAAGCGAGGAAGGTGGATGCAGGCATGGTGGCATCGGATGCGTGTCTGCTATGTGGGGCGAGAGGCGCGCTGCTGCACATGCATTGCGGCTGCGGCGCTTGGCAGGAGGTGTTGACCACGCCAGCCGCGGTGTCCTCCCTGAGAGCCAGATCGGACAATGACGGAGGTGGAGCTGGTGCTGGAGAGGTTGTGGCCAGCCCAGGCGGGACTACGCAGGCCTGTGCCGTCCAGCAACATATGCTGGCGAGGACAGCATGATGGAGTCGTGCCGCCAGGGGGGATCTACTTGGACGGGCCGGCCTTCGACGTGGACTTCGACGGCTACCCCCCAGTGGGTTGGGGCCCGGTGGCGCTGACGCCCGACGGGGATGTCGGTCGCGGGACAGTTGTGTGAGCCGCGCGTGGACATCAACGGCGGGGAGCTCACGGCCTTGATCGTGCTGATGCGGTTGGGGATGGCTCCAATCGTGGCGGTCGTGGACTCCAAGTGCGTGTGCAACGGGGTCATGAAGGCTGGGCGTGCAGGCGCCACGTGCTACAGCCGCGCGCGGGCGGGGCGAGACAGGGGTGCGCGTGCGGTGGATGCGAGCGCATCAGACGCAGCAGCAGGTGCGCGAGGGAGCGATCACGAGCCGCGACTGGCTGGGCAACAAGTACGCGGACGGGGCAGCCAGGTCAGCAGCGAAGGCAGTCAGGATTGCGGCAGAGGATCGCGCCAAGCTGCAGGCTGAGCGTAGCCTCGTGGATGGTCGTTATGTGGTGCAGCGCCGTGGGCAGCTGGGTCCAGGGCAGCGACGCGTGTCACAGGAAGGCGAAGCCACGGGGTGCAGTGGAAGGCCGTGCAGCGAGGAAGGGCGACGCCAGCAACGCGTGCGACCTGCGCGGTGCTCCAGGGAAGCAGTGGCGTACGCACTGCAGGTGGCAGGGTCGCCAGGGCGAGCGCCCAGGCTCCATCCTGGAGGAGGCGATGACTGCGAACGGGGTCCTGAGGGCTCGAGGGCTCCCGGGCCATCGGCTCGCGAGGATCGAGCCGCAGGTGGGCGCGCAGCTGGAGAGGAAGATGCCCCTGGTGGCGTGCCTCTGCTGCGGGGCCACTGGAGCGGCGCGTGCCGGCAGCTTCACCAGGCGCTGTGAGCCGCCGACTCCGTCGGGCAAGGCGGTGCTGGCGAGGCTGGATCGCAAGATGGCGCCCAAGGTGTCCAGCAGAGTGGCAGTCGAGGTGCGCGACCTCGTCGAGGGCAGCAGCGATGCCACTATGCTGACTGATGTCTAGCCAGGCTGCCGTACGTAATCGCGGATGTGTGCCAGTTCAAGTTGAGGAGGCTACGAGCGCAGATGTGGTGGGCGCGGCTGGTCTGGCCTCGACGACGAGCGGGCCCGACGCGACGGCTCCCAGAGGGGGCGGAAGAGCCGCCAGTGCGCCGCCACCAGGGGCCCCCGCCGCGGTCTCATCGACTTGCAGGCGGGGGCGGGGATGAAGCGGGAGCCGCAGCAGCTGCCGAGGAGGCGGTGCGAGGCAGGGTCGCAACGCTACTGGTGGCCTACCGCCGCGGCTGCGATGCTGCGGAGCCGCGTGGCGCTGTGCGGGGTCCCTCGGCGCAAGCGGCATGCTGGCGGCCCTGCCCAGGAATGGTGCCTCGACCTGAGCGCGGTCAGCCAGAGGCACGGGGCGCGCGTGGCGTTGGTGGCGGCCGAGCCGAGGGTCGACCCGCGAAGGGCGGGGGCCGTGGCGGGCGCTCCGAAAGGAGCTCGCGAGCCCCCCGCCCCGAAGCGGCTCTCGCCTAGGCGAAGGCGTCGGAGCCGCGCGATGAGCTTTCCCTTTCACCTCGCGGTCGTCGTCGGCCAGGGGTTCGCGCTGGCTCGTCGATGGCGCTGCATGCTGAGGCGGCGCTGGCGGCGCCGCAGAGGAGCGGCTCAGCGGCGCGCGGGCCTCCCACGTCGCCGTGTGCGTCGGACCTGGCAGACAAGAGTCGAGTGGATCGGCGTCTGGGGCGCCGAGGAGCATTTCAGCGAGTTCGGCCAGACGTCCTACCTCACCAGGCCTGGCCTCGGCGACGAGTGGGACGGGCGCGGCGACGCTCAGAGGGGTGGAGGAGCCGCCAGAGCGGCGCCACCAGCGGCCCCTGCCGCGGTCTCATCGACCTACAGGCAGGGGCGAGGACGACGAGTTGTGTATCGGGCATCGCCAGCAGTGGCGCTCCAACCAGGACGCAGAGGAGCATGGGCTGCTGAGTCCGTCGGTGGCTAACACGCAAGTCCCAGCCCCCAGGGGCACCCGCGAGGTAAGCAGCGTGCGGGGCTGGGCTCAGTCGCCAAGTTTGTTGCTGGGGCCTGCCCCCTGGCGCGCCCGATGGGGTAAACAGCGCGTGGGGCGGGCCCGCCTCGACGTGCGTGCCTCGAGGTGGAGCCGCAGCTGCTCGCGGTGCGGTCTCGGGGGCGCCGATGGGGCCATTTGGCGAGTTCTGCGCGACGTCATCCTTCCCCAGGCCAGGCTTCCGCGGGCAGCGGGCTGGGCGCAGGCGCTCCCAGAGGGGTGGAAGTGCCGCCAGTGCGGCGCCACCGGGGGCCCTTGCCGCGGCCTCACCGACCCGCAGGCGGGGGCGATGACGATGCGATTGACGCTGCAGCGGCGACCAATGATGAGGTCAGAGGCAAGGTCGAGTCGCTCCTCGCGGCCTACCGCCGCGGCAGCGAGGCTGCGCAATCGAGCGGTGCGGCTCGGGGTCCCTCGACGCGGACGGACTGCAGTCGGCCCTGCCCAGGACTGGCACCTCGACCAGAGGTTCGGGGAGCGCGTGGCACGGGTGGCGGCCGAGCCGAGGGTCGACCCGCGCGGGGCGGGGGCCATAGCGGGCGCTCCGAAAGGAACTCGCGAAGCCCCTGCCCCAAAGCGGCTCTCGCCGAGGCGGCGTCGTCGGAGCCGCGCGATGTGATTGCCCTCGCACCTCGCGACCGCCGTCGGCCAGGTGCTCGCGGTGCGCGTGGCGCTGCATGCTGGGGCGGCGCTGGAGGTGAGGCATGCGAGCGGCTCTGCGGTGCACAGGCCACCTTCCTCGACGTGCGTGGCGGCCGCGGCGGGCATGGTCCGGGTGGGTCGACCTCGGGGTGGGCGGATGAGCTCGTCGGCGAGGTCGGCTCGATGTCGCCCTCCCCCTGGCCTGGCCTCGGAGGCTAGCAGGCGGGGTGCGGCTCTGAGTGGAGGGGCCGCCAGAGCGGCGTCGCCAGGGGCCCCTGCTGCGGTCTCACCGACCTGCAGGCGGGGGTGAGGATGACGCAGGCGTCGCCGCAGCGGCGACCCGGGCCACGGCGTGCTCCTCGCGGGCTGCCGCCGCGGATGCGCCGCCGCGGGGCTGAGCGGCGCCGCTGGCCTGCGTTCGTCCGACTCAGGGGGCCCCCGTGGGGCCGAGCCTTGTCGGGCTGCTGGATTCGACTCGGGTACTGGCGGCGTGGGGCCCCGGGTGGTCTCCGCGGGGCTCGCTCCTGGGGCGCCGCCTGGCCCGAGTGCTTGGGGGTGAGTGCGGCTGTCCAGCGCCCCGCGTTGTGGGGTGCTAGGTGCTCGCGCTCACGCGGCGTCGGGTCTCCTCGTCGCCTGGGGCCGTGCCTGTGCACGGCAGCGAGGCACCGAGGCCACGTCGCCCGAGTCGGGCAGTGACGCGGCGGTCCCACGGTCCCATGAGCAAGCGTCCCATTGCAGGCTGGCGGGCCCGATTCGGTTGCCTGGAGAGCGAGCACCCCGCTGGCGCGCGACAGGCCCGATGCGGTTACCAGTGGCGGCACTCTGCAGACGGCGGAAAGGCAGTCCATGCATAACGTGGTGTCCGCGCGGCGTTTTTTTTGTTTTGTTGGGGGCGGGGGGGGGGCGATATATCCATGTAACACAACTAAAGGATTGACGGGGGCGATCAGGGTAATCGGGAGGAGGTTTTGGGGGATGGCAGGGGCGATCTGCTTTCGTTTTGCCTCTTTTTGGCCTCTTTGGGGGATGCGCTGTCCCAGGGCGAACTTGAGACCTCCCGGCCTTGTGTCGCCCATCCCGCCTTGCCCCCGGCTCCACAAGAGGACGGACAGGACCAGGGCGAGGGCGATGACCAGGGCCGAGGGCGACGCGTGCGATTGCGAGGGCGCTGGGGAGGACGAGGACGAGGCAGGCGAGAGCGACGACGACTTGGCCAACCCCAGCGGCCGCGACGACGACGACGCCGACGACGACGACGACGACGCCCACGGCAGCGATGGCGCCGAGGACGGGCGGCCAGTCCACGAGGCCGTGGACGCGGTGGACCACCAGCTGCTGGGGCCCGTGGGGCCGCAGGACGCCCGCGGCCGCCGCCGCGGGGCCGCGGGTCGGCCGTGGGCCCTCGCCGACCAGCTGCTGCCGCGGTCGCCGAGGGTTGAGGATTTGCGGCTTCGGGAGGAGGAGGAGGAGGAGGAGGAGGAGGAGGAGGAGGAGGAGGAGGAGGAGGAGGAGGAGGAGGAGGAGGAGGAGGAGGAGGAGGAGGAGGAGGAGGAACAGGAGGAGCAGGAGGAGGAGGAGGAGGAGGAGGAGGAGGAGGAGGAGGAGGAGGAGGAGGGAGGAGCAGGAGGAGGAGGAGGAGGAGGAGGAGGAGGAGGAGGAGGAGGAGGAGGAGGAGGAGGAGGAGGAGGAGGAGGAGGAGAGGAGGAGGAGGAGGAGGAGGAGGAGGAGGAGGAGGAGGGAGGAGAGGAGGAGGAGGAGGAGGAGGAGGAGGAGGAGGAGGTGGAGGAGGAGGAGGAGGAGTCAACGAGCCCAAATAATATCTACACCACCGCCACGTCGATTCCTCCTCCCTTTTCTGCCCTCCTCTTCCTCTCCTCTTTCCTGGGGGAGGGAGGGGATGAGGGAGGTGGTGGTGGTGTATATTTTTGGGCCCCGTAGATTCGGATTCCCGATGTATGGACGTGTAAGGGCTTTGGCTTTTCTCCCGGAGGCGCCCCCTCGTTGCCGCGGTGGGATTCCCTGCGGGATCTTGACCAGAGCGCGCTCCAGGACTGGCCTGGGCATCGTCGTCATCGTCGTCGACGCTGCCGCCGCCGCCGCCGCCGCCGCCGCCGCCGCCGCCGTCGTCGTCGTCGTCGTCGTCGTCGTCGTCGTCGTCGTCGTCGTCGTCGTCGTCGTCGTAGTCGTCGTCGTTTTCGTTTTCGTCGCCGTCGCCGTCGCCGCCGTCGCCGTCGCCGTCGCCGCCGCCGCCGCCGCCGCCGCCACAGTCCTTGTCTGTGCCGTCGCCTCTGTCGACGCCGTCCTCGCCGCCCTTTGAGGGGGGGCGGCCGTCGCCTTTCGTGCCGCCGGCCCCAGTCGGCCTCCGAGGGAGCTCCGTGGAGGCACGGCCCCGCCGGGGGCCCCCCGAAGGCCCAGGAGGCCCCGGGCAGGTCCCCAGGTCGGCGGCGTGTAAGATCGGCACGAACGACATCTGCCCCTAGCCACCGCTTCATTGCGCACGGTCCACTGCTCGCAAAGTGCCTCTTAGCAGACGTCCCAAACATAGTCGCTGTTCGATGCAATGGAGCTTGTTTGCCACGACGCAATGGATCCAGGTCGTTTGCGAGTAGCCACTTTGCGAGTCGTGGAACGCGCTTGTCTAACTGCTCCCTGGCCAGGCTCATCCTGAGCCCAGGAGCTGTGCATACGCCCCCCCGGCCAAGCCAGGGGGGCGTGGCGCATGCACCGCTGCTGTGCTCGGGATGGGCCTGGCCCAGGCGCGGCGGGCATGTTTGTAGACTTCGGCGCCCTGTAAGAGAGGCCCTGCGCGGCCGTCGGGGGGCCCTGGCGGGTCATACCCCAGCGCGCGCAGGCCGCCGCGGTCGCCTCGCGCGCGGTCGTCGGCAGACCGCGCGCCAGAGGGCAGTCATGTCCTGCAGGAACCGTCCGGCGTGGGCGGCAGTCTCTCAGGAGGGAAAAAACACATAGACACAATGAATCGTCGATTCCCCAGAAAATATGGGAAAATATAAGCAGTGTGGGGGGGGGAGACAGAAACCCAGAAAATATGAGGGATTGTTTTATTTGTGTGTATTTACTTGTGTGTCCTGGGGCCCCTTCACTCTCGTCCCGTCTCGACGCAGCAACGGCGCCAGCGCTGGCGTTCTGTCCGGGCTGCGCCGGGACTCGATTTTTTTTCCGACGTCCTTTGACGAGCGCGTCCCCTGGACTCTGGCGGCCCAGTCTTCTTGGGATGTTTGCAGCCGGAGCTCGCGTCCAATGTCAGATGGGGTCTCGGCGCTCGCGTCCAATGCCAGAAGGTAATCATGTCCTGCAGGATCAGTCTGGCGTGTGCGGCAGTCTCATCCCGTCTGTTTCTGACGTTTTTTGACGAGCGCGTCCCCTGGATTCTGGCGGCCCAGTCTTCTTGGGATGTTTGCAGCCGGAGCTCGCGTCCAATGTCAGATGGGGTCTCGGCACTCAATGATGGCCCAGTCAGGCTAGTCGAGTCGAGTCCCCGAACCCGAGCCTTGCGTCTCCCCGGTTCTAGGTCGCCGCGCCGCTGGTGGCCCAGGGTCGGCCGAGGTCGAAGGATCCGTGCGCGGTGTCGCAGAGCCACGGACGGCCAATGCCCAGCGATCTGCTCCAGATTTCGTAAGAAAGGGAGGGGGGCCTCGTTTCGGGGGGGGGGTCTCTTCCAGGATATCTTGGAGGGCCTGGGGGGTCTGGGGACCATGTTTTGGAGGGTTCTCCCACGGGGGAGGTCTGAAGTGGCCTGTCTTGGAGGGTCCAGACCCCCTCCCTTTTATTACGAAATCTGGAGTACGCGGTGCCAAGAGCAAGGAAACGCAACCTGGGTTAATCGCGCCAGGATTGGCGACGGGTCGCGCTGCCGTGCAGAACTGGCGCGCCGCGTCGCCGACTGGGGCGGCACTGGCCCCACGCTTCGGGCGGTGCCTTCTCCGATCCGTGGATGGCATGCCGCCCACGATCACCGAGCGCGTTCCAGTACTCGCAGGGCGCCTGCTCGCAAGGGTATGTCGTAAAGCCCCCGCGGCGGATCCAGGCCATTTGTGCGAGCAGCTACTTTGCGAGAGGTGGAGCGCGCTTTTGTCTACAGGAGCCAGATACACGGACCCGTCATCCAGCTCATTCCGGATTTGGTAGAGCAAAGGGAGGGTCTGATTTTTCCTGGGGGTCTGATCTTTCCTGGAGTCTAGTTTTTTTCCAGTAGTGCAAAGGGGGGGTCTGATTTTTCCTGGGGGACTGACTTGCACCGTCTAGGAAGGTTCCAGAGGGCCTGGGCAAAAGGCTGCCTTTCCATGGCTGGTGCAGGGGGGGGGGGGCTGACGCTCGGTTGGGAGGGTTGTGACCCCCTTCCTTTTATTATGGAAGGGTGGAGTACAGTCAACGCGGATAGTAAGGATGAGCGATTTTCCAAGACGATGCCCTTGCATTTTTCCCCTTCGGCCACCCCTTGGCCACCTTCGCTGGTCGCAACCCGCTCGAGAAGTGTCGACATGGCCTTCCAGCCCTTGCATCCTTCTCGTGAACCTGGAGACCGAGCACAACGTTGTTTAACTCGGTTTTGGTCCCTGTTTTGTTTTTCGTTGTGCTTTGTTTCGGTCCAGTCTTCGTTTGACACCAGTTTCGCTCGCAGCGTTCGCTTCAAACGTTCGGCTTCGCTTCGTATGATGTCGTTCCCAACGCTATCGTGTTGCAAGCATCGTTGTCCTCGGTCGCTGCGTGCACCCTCAGGGGAGCAGCTCGTGGCCAGTCTCGGGCCTCCCGCCCGCGATGGACGGTCGCAAACCTCCTCGTGCACCTTTGGTCTTAAGTCGTGCAAGTCCCTCTACAGGAGGAATGTTCAAACATAGTCAAAAAGTAGTCAGGGGACGAGTTTCGACTATTTTTGTTAATTTTTTCGAACTATTTGTTTATGGTTCCGCCGAAAAATCAGCCAGTAGGGGAACATGCCAGACCTAACCCTTGTCACAGTCGGACCGTGGCGTGAGGTCGAGGCCGGCTCGGGGAGGGCACCCTGGTGTCCTTTGCGCTGATGGCTATTCTTGTGCATCCTGGGGAAGGGTGCCCTGGTCATTTTAATTATACATTTGAGCATTGATAACACATGTTTGTGAATATTCAATGATATATATATATATATATATATACATATTTGTATTTATATGAAAATATGTGCATATATATACACATATTTTTACACATATATCTATAAATATGTATACACATATTATATATGTGTAATATTTGATATTCAGTTTAGTTTTTCAAGATTTGCGATAGACACATTGGAATGTTAACAACTAGTAGAGATATAGTATTATAAATCGGTGGCTCACCATTTCATTGTGCAATTTTTATATAAAACATCGTGCTCTTCCCTGTGGCCCGCGGAGGGTCTCTCGCGCTCTTTGCTCGGGGCCCAAAAGAGACGGGGTGTCAGTGCAAGCGGGCGTCAGCCAGCGCGCCGCATCCTGCAGGCTCCTGCAGGGCCAGGGGTGCACTCGGGGAACAAAAAGGGACACGAACATACAAACTCGGAGGTCCGCGCGGATTTCTCGGCTCGGCGCTGGGGCCCCCCTGGCGGCATCTCCGGCGCCGCCCCCTGGCGCGCTCCGGCGCCGCCAGGAACGGGGGTCCAGCGCCGATCCGAGAAACCCGCGCGGACCTATGTTTCTGACACTTTTTGTTCCCCTATGCACTGACCCGGGCCTGTGTGCAGGATCCTCCAGGATCTTGCGGGCTCCCTGCGAGGCCTGACCGACCCGGGCCTGGCTCGACCCGGGTCCGCAGATCCCCGACCTGAAGGGTGCTTTTCTGTCCTGGGTCCGATTTGGACGCCCGAAATGGGTACGGAAAGAATGGGTACAATGCCCAACAGCAGTTCCTGTTCATTTTGAACAGGACTCGCTGTCCGCGCCGCCGCGGCCTGTGTCCGTTCGAGACAGGAGGCCGCCTGCCCAACAGCGGCCGCTGTTGGTTTGGGACAACATTTGTTGTTGGGCATTGTGCCCATTCTTTCCGTGCCCATTTCGGGCGTCCAAATCCGACTGCAGCGACGAGGCCCCTCTTGCCGGCTCGGCCTCGGGACTCCGTCGACTCGGCTCTGCTCGAGGCGCTCGGCCCCTCTCCAGCCCAGATGCGGCGGGCCCCCTCCCCGGCAGCTCCTGGCCGGTCTCGGGCCGCCCGCGGTGGACCGTCGCAAGCCTCCTCGTGCACGCCCCGTTTCGGACGGGGCCAGGACGAGGATAAATCTAGGGGGTCCTAGATGGGGTCGGAGTAGATGGGATAGGAGGATCGCGCCGCATCGCCGACGCATCGGCGGTGCATCGGCGATGCGGCTCGATGTGGGGCCCAATTTTCTCCACG